AAATTCTTGAGATATGAATCAATAGGATATGATCGATAGGGTACAAAGCCCTTTGTTAGCTAAGGTGGATTTAAATTTGTCCCCTTAGGCAAATATTCAACCCCGGTCTACAAGGTCCCCTTGGACGAAGCAACCCATGGCTGCTGACAAGGATCCTTCTGTCAGGTTGGGTTGACTACCTCCTCTGACTAAGTAGACCAGGGACCACGATGGCCCGGGACGACGGAACCATGGGATCTTGATCGGGTCTATCATTCATTCCCCCACCATCCGCTTTAAGTGCAAGATGGTACAATTTCCTATTTTAAATATCAAATATACCCAAATCCAAATCCAAACTTTCAATCCTCAATACCTAAACCCATGCTGCTACTATATGCCAGATAACACGTATTTCTATACGTATCTGATCGATGACTAGCCTTAATCGAAAGTTCTCTCTCGTGATCGGGAGGGGTAATTAACTATAGGGGCTTGCGCCTATAGGAAACCAGAACTCAGATCATAAAGTCCTCGCAAAATGAGGGCGAAATCTCTTGGTAGTGTCTTATCTACAAACCCATCTGCCTTCCAAAATTTACCTCGGAACTATTCAGTTAAAACTCCCTCACTCCAAACAAATAAAAAGAAAAAAGCGCGGCGGGGAGGCTGGGGCCGAATTTTCGGAGCCCACATGGATAAAAGTCGCTCTTTGAAATTCAAAAGGAGACATTACATACCCTCAAATGACTATACATTCATATAGAAAAAACATCTAGGTAATCTCAAGTAATGTGCACGCATTTTTAGGTGAACCCAACAACACAACCTTTGAGAAGCCTGTAGCCACCCTGAAAAGCATGTAGATGCCTCGAGAAGCATACCATTAGTTCAAGAAGTGTGACATAGAGTCAAAAAGCATTCAACCAACTATAGAAGCATGCCCCTACCTCCAAAAGCATACAAGTGTCACATAAAACGTGCAGGTATTATAAAAAGTGTCATCATCCCAAAAGCATGCAAGTACATCGAGAAAAATGCAACACTATTTAAACATACAAAAAAAACATGTAAGTGCATCGAAAAATATGCAAGTACATTGTGCAAATGTACTAATAAATATGTAAGCACATCAAAAAGCATGCAAGTGCATTTAAATGTATGTATAAACATTGTGCAAATGTATTGAAAATATAAAAATGCACCAAAAAAATGCAAGATATCAAGTCATCAAAACTAATTTTCTTTGCAAATAGTTCGACGAACAAGCTAAATGCTTAAATACAAACATTGAAAATGTTGCGCATGCTCAAAATAAATTGAATCAAATCTTATCATGCTCGGAGAAAGTGCAACCATCCAAAAAATGATTGGGTGATCTTTTTTTTTTAAATTTGCAAGTTCTTTTATAAAAATCAATTTTCATTACAGGATGATCTCAAGCAGGCTGCCTTATCTATAGGGAAAGATTGTAAGACCCATACTAAAAGTTTGATCTTTCTCGCAATAGCTAGAGTGACCACTACTTGAACTCTACAAAAGATATCTACACAATAAATCCAAAGGGACGAGATTTTGTTTTGCACTTGCACTTAAATGCTACATAGGAAGGAAATTCACTTTAAAATACAAACACCAAAACTTATTGCACCTTATATGGTAACTCATAGAGTACATTGTGAATGCAATCCTCTACTACGGTTCAAACTAAAATTAAACATTTAAAATGCTGTATTGAAAACAAATAAAATTTAAGAAATGAAATTAAAGCATTCAAAATACTAATGATAGCTGTAATTAAAGCAAATATCAAGCAGAGCAAACTATATCTTTCAAAATGCCGCTAAAGCCCATTGCAGATCATTTTGGGGCCATATCCAGACATAAATACAAAAATCTAAAATTTTGTTTTAAATGTTAAAATCTACAAATTAAATTTATCCCCTAAAACTTAAAGTGAAATCCACACGCCTTCGCAATCCTTTTTTAGGGTTGATAAGTTTAAGACTAATCTAAGCCAATATCTTCCTGAGCATATAATTATATTTAACTCAAATGTTCTATTGCCAACAAGTGTGAGACACATGTCCTCTAACGGTGATTTTAGAGCCAATTGGAATCACAAGTAAATAGTTATGATTGAGACTCTCTGAACAGGTGGCTTTACTGCAAAACAGAATCATTAAATTATGATCACGTCCAGAGCGTGTAAGTTCTCTAATAGCTTAAAAACCTTTACATTGTCAAGGCAATTTCCTAGAAATTTCTATCCTGGTTTCCAATGTATTCGTTAAATACAACAGAGTTCCCTCTTTGCAGGATCTTATTTGTCATACAGAGTTGCCTTGCATGATTTCAATATAATAGATTTAGAAATTGAGCATTGTTAAGGCAATACCTATACTAGAGCTACTACTACTAAAATTATACTACATGTATTCGGTTTTATATCTACTCGAACGAAAACCTTTAGACTCTAAGGTTGACCTCTATAATTTAAGTTTTTCTTCAACTCCCTATGTAGTCATGTCAACAAGAAGAATATCATCAGCAAAGAGCATACATCAGGGTACATTCTCTTGCAAATGTCTAATAAGAACATCCATGACTAAAGCAAAAAAGATATGGGCTTCAAACTTATCCTTGAGGTAATCCAACTGAAATAGGAAAATACTTCAAACCACCTTGTGTTTGAATACAAGTAACAGTTCCTGGAACTGCATTGATGATTTGAATATAAACACTATTAACTCATTTCCTTTATAGAGTTTTCCAGAGCACTTCTCAATGTAGTCTACCATGAACCAAATTTAGAGTGCACGCATTCATCAAATCAACCCACAAACTATGCTAGGATGATATTTATGCTTAGAAAAACAGCACTCTTCTGGGCTAAAGCAACAAAAAATAATTATATCAAAAATATTCATGCGTTGAATAGTTCCAAAATAATTCAAGCATAGATGATACTTGCGTAACCATACCTCCAAAGATACTCCACTGACAACGCCACTTGTTGTTGCAACGTATAGCATGTTTCGTGCCTTAGAAAATAAGGCCAAGTAGGAGTTATAAAGCAGTAGACATCAACATTTAAAAACACACAACAACCAAGCATAAATAAAAACATAATTTACTTTAAACAAGTACCTAATATATTCATAAACATGAAACTGACATCTGTAAAATTTTAATATTTTTTTAAGCAATTGACTTTAAATATTCTTCATAACTTCCTGAATAAAGTACAAATATAAAGAAATATACAAGTACATGACAACTTCTATTCTAATCTATAACATGACAGCTGAACTTTATCTTGTGTGTGCGGAATGCAAAAAGATGTCGCTAACTTTATAATTCAATAATAAAAGGAAAGGGAGAGATGTAAAAGTGATTTTAAAAATTCCAAAAAGAAGAAAAAAAAAACCCAGGTCAAACTACGGTAGCATCTACTTTTGAAGATCTCCTACAAATGTCTAAATACATGTCTATGAGAGGGAGGAACATTAGTTTCATTTCTATTCTTTTTCCCTCAAAACGACGCCTTAGAAAATCAAAATGCTGGTAATCGTAGCCTAGGAATCAAACTAGTATATATGTTGCATAAAAATTTTTGTTCAAACAGAAAATATTTGTAAAAATCCTAATAGAAACACTTAGTATGTCACTTATAACTAGATCTTGACTGCACAGTGTAAGGCAAGAGGAGCTGTCAGTAATTTAAAGAGATTTGAAATTTATTTCAAAACATAGGTTCATGCGTTTAAACTAGATTTCCATTTGGCTATAAAACAGAACATTACAATTGTTAGCCAATATATATTTCATAAGTTTCTCCTCTTGGCTTGGATAAACGGGCTTTACATTCCTTCGAAAACAATAGCTAGCGTAAAAGCTGTTAGATACCTTAAGCCAGCCAGCAAGATTTTAACAGATAGCCTTCATTATATGCCAAGTTAATTTTTTTAAAAAATTAAAAACTCCAGACACTTAGGAGTCGCTTGGAACAATTTGCTAACTGCTTATCATTTTTAAGAAATTATTTTATTTTATAAATTGTTTGGCTGCACAAATATGTTAAAAACGCATCCTTTAAAACACCCTTTTAATATAATTTCACAAAGCTATTTCTCATCCGTTTTTCAGTGGTTCGTGTTTTTGATTGAGATAGTAAAAGATACCACCAAATCCTCAAGATCTCCTGAGCACATCTCCCTCTTCCATCTTGTTCACTTTCAAATCTCTATTGTAGTGCTTCGCCAACCATTCCCCTCTCGTCGGTCTCCCCATGATTTCCCTTCATCAATTCCCTCTTGATTCTTGAGTTGCCTGGCATCTTGTTTGGGGCTAAGCTTGCCTTGCATTGGACCGCTATATTTGAAGGATTGTATAAGGCCTATTGATGGCACAAACGTTAATGCTCGCATCCCTATTAAAAAAGAAGAGGGAAGCTCATATTTTTCAACATAATATGATAGATTATAGATGTAAATTTCCTACACTGCCGACTTTTTTTTAATATTAAAAGAATTTAATTTTATACTATTGCTCATAATATGTTCAAAATTTAACATATTCAACAACAACAAAAAATTTACTTGGCCAATGATGGTTGTGCTCTACAAAGGGGATTTCTTAAGATTTCTCCTAACACAAGATATATAGGCTTACTTCAATGTTTTGTAGTGCTTCAATTTTTTAAAGAGAAAAGAACCAAAATGGTTCATCAACTCTTTAGGAATGACCAAAATGATCCCATTGATCAACTATCTTGAGGGACCATTTTGATCCCTCAACTCCTTAAAATGGGATCATTTTGGTCCCAACATCAAAAATAATGGATGTTGGACTTAATGGTGTTAAAAATAGAAATATTTTAGTAATTTTTTACTGCAATATTTATTAGATATAATTTACAAATAATTATAATTTTAAAATATATATATACTAATCATTTGTTTAGTAAGAAAATTTAATAGTATTTTTAGTTTTACATTTAAAAATTTTAGTTATATTTTATAATTTTCAAGTAACTATTTATTGCATAACAATAACTTTAAAAAATATCCCTAATTTTTACACAATTAAGCCCAACATCCATTATTTTGGATGTTGGGAGCAAAATGATCCTATTTTAAAGAGCTAAGGGACAAAAATAATCCCTCAAGATACTTGGGGACTATTTTGGTCCTTCCAAAAGAGTTGAGAGACCATTTTGGTCATTTTCTCATTTTTTAAATCAATTAATTCAATCATTAGATCCGAGTTCAAAAAGAAATTAAGTTTAATCAAGTTAGAATTGAGCTTATATGGCTCTTTTGCATGTTGCCATTGCTTGCTTTCTCCACTTGAAGAGTTGTCCACACCAAAGGATGAATTCTACTTCTCTACAACAACAACGAGTCTTTATCCATTATGTGGGGTCGACTACATTAATCATTTTTCTCAATTATGTCATATTAAGAATTAAATTTTCACTTAAATCTAAAAAAATGTCATTTTTAATTCTTTATAACCAAGTCTTTTTAGATCTACCTCTACATTCTTAACATATGTTGAATATAATGCATCTACTCTCCTAAAAAGGTCATCAAAAGGTTGATATTTTATGTGACCAAATCATCTAAGATGGCTCTATCTAATCTTATCTACCACTAGAGCTACACCCTTTTCACGTGTACACTCACTTTGCATTCTGTCTATAAATGAAAAGCCACTCATCCACCTAAGCATCCTCGTCTCTGCAACACTTAACTTAATTTTATGCATATCTTTAATAGCCAAGTCATGTCATGATTCTTTGATAAAGTTTTATGTTGGTTATTGACTACCTAACACAGCCCTCCACTTCTCATATCCAGAGCTTAGGCCCCGACAAAGGCAATATTATAAGAACAACTTTTGAGCTACCCTCTAATTGAGAGGTTGTAAGTCCTATTCCTAAGCACCTCTACTAGTAGAGTTTTAAGCTAAAGAACCCCATTGGATTCAAACTAGGTAATTCAAAACAATAATAGAACTAGGCTGCCCCACCTATAAATTTGATGCAATCAAAAATTTGGAAGAGGGACCCAAATTTTTTATCACAAAAATGAAAGACTTCCTATATAAAAGAAATACTAAAATTGCTAAAGAAATCCACCAAATTCTAAAAGACATAAAAATAAGAAACAAATATACTTTTATAATATTAGAGAAAACTATTACATTTCATGACACTTACAAACTTACACTTAAAATTAAACGACTCAAGCAAGACACCCTAAAGTTGCTTCACTTAGAGAAGAAGGATACTGATGGAGTGGCACTTGCGGATAGAAGAAAGAGATTAGAAGTCAAGACGAAGGTTGGAAAGAGCCCGCAGGATTTTCCGAAGGAGGTGGAAGAGGGAATGGACAAAGCTCGCAAGCTTTTCCAAACAACAAACCCGCAGGTTTTATCTCCAAAAATAACTCACATCATTCTCTTTTTAATTCATCACAAAACATTTCATATATATAGGCAAGAGAGGGGAACCAAACAGCCCAAGATTTCCCATAAATGGAGTGATAAAAAGCCATTAATTTCCTGCACATAAATTCCAAACAGCATAGCAAGTCTCAAGGAAAAAGGTCACGGTTCCAGCACAGGGAAACCAAACGGCACACAAGGATTCAAGGCCACGGCTCTCAGCACAGGGAAAACCAACCGGCACATCAAGTCTCAAGAAAAGGCCA